GATGATAAGATAGAAATATAGATGATGGTTAGAATAGATTGACAGAGATGGATGAATAGATAGATAGATAGATAGATGACAGATGATAGATAGATAGATAGATGGATGATAGATGATAGATAGGTAGATAGATAGATAGATAGATAGATGGATGATAGATAGATGATAGATAGATAGATAGATAGATGATAGACAGATGATAGATAGATAATAGATAGATAATCACTCTATTATATGTACATTTTCAAAACATGGTAGTTTTAAAGTAACCCAAAAGTCTAGATACAGGTTATTTGTAGGTTGTCTTGGGAAAATTAGATGAAACATTGTCAAGAAATGAACAAAAAGATAAAAATATCCACCATCCACACCTGGCAGAATGAAAAAGTGAGTCTTCTGTCCAAGAACCTTTAAATCTAGATGGTTTTTCAAATGTGCAGTAAACATTCAATATTAATAGAAAGATCATGCATGAGAACAGATACATAACTCAAAATTCTCTGGAAAACTCTTACAAGAAAATGTGGAAGAGAAATACTGCCTTTTGCAACAACACAAAAAACAAGTCAAACCTGTATGAAATATTTAATGTCCTGCATTTCTCTGGCTAAACAAAATGCTGCTGTTTTACACCTAAAAAGTCATGATGAGCCTTCTTATGTTGGAAGAAAATGAACTCTTTCTATATGCCAAGCAGTCTAGATTCTTATCACTTAGCCACAAGACATAGCAAGGTATCAGTTCAGTTCCTTATGGAACCTTCACTTCCTTATACTAGGAAGAGGAAATTAATCCTACCATATTTTATTGAAAAGTGCATGTGTGTGTTTTCCCTTTATAATTTGAAAGATGTGTGTGTATCAAAAAATTTGGTCTCATCACGTGATAAAAATTGTATTTATGCAGATCAACATTTCTTTAGATGATTAGTTTTAATAATTTAAAATATATGAATTAAAATATTTTAATAAGGTAATTTACTAATAGTTATATATCAGTTTAAAAGCACTGACACGATACTATTAAATCTTGTGATTGCTAGGATTGTTCCTGAAGATAAATAGCTCAATACTGGAATTTTTATGTAGTCCTAAAACCAATCTAACCCTTTATGTTAATCTCATTCATAGTTGTATCTTAGGGTTATTAAGTTTTTTTTGTTTAGCAAATCAATTTAATACCTAGTATATGACTCAGATTATAGGTTGGTTATAGAAGTACAGCAAAAATAGGAAAGAACTTGTTTATTTTTTCTATAAGAATCTTCAAGAAAGAGTCTGTATCAGAACATCCATCAGAATCACAGAGATAATTTATTTAAAAAGCTGATGGCTGATCCTCATATCCTGAAATTTAGAATTTAGAATCAAATTAACCAAAGATAAGGCATAGAAATCTACATGTTAACTGGTGCAATGGAATGTTAAGGTTCTGAGGGGCATGCTTTAAAACTGTGTGTGTGTGTGTGTGTGTGTTTGTGTGTGTGTGTGTGTGTATACGAAGCAAAATTTCTATATTTGATATAGGATTATGCACTTTCTGTTCTTCCCAAGAGTTAAGGATTCAGAAGTGAGATGGAACTGAATCCCAGACTAAATTTCAATACCTTTCCACATACACTTCGGAATAGCATGGCATGCAGGATTGGGTCTGCCCAGAAGATCTCTGTTCTAGCAGGTCCTTTATGAATTGAACCTGTACTGGAGAGTTGTGATACTCCAAGCAATGTTAGAGGATATCCAGTGCCTGCAGTAAAGGGGAAATAGGCTTAAGTTTTCTATCTCATGAGAAGTGTATCCTTAACCAAGACCCACATTCATTAATTTATAGATGTATTCATCTTTCAAAGCTAAATCACATATCAAAGATCATAGAGAATTCATGCTGTGCTACTCAGTTGTTTCCCTTTCTTACACTGCCACACCAACAATGTCAAATATGTATTTCTAGGTATCACAATCCTCCTTTTGCTTTTAGAAAAGTTTGGTATGCATCTTGAGATATTTTGTGAAAATTTCTTCTGGAGATTTCTTCAATATAGTACATGTTCTTGTCCTGCTAGACAGAATTCAATTCTTATATTACGCTCTTGCAATTAGCATCTAACCTTGAGCTAACCAGAGTACATTTAAATCCCCCTTCTTTTCCACCCTGCACTTCAGTTCAGTGGCTCTGCTCCTATATCAGCACTGTAAAGGAACTAGTAACTAGGCAATAGTCACAGCTTTCTAGTTGGTTATCTCTGTGATGCTCAATATCAGGATGCTTCTTATATGTAAATATATTGGCAATTCTAACAAAGTGATTTTTAACTTGTCACACTCCTGTTCAGGGCAAATTTGAAGTCTTCCCTAGCTCCCATTTTAGCTTTATCTCCCATTACATGTATATGATCTACATTATATTAATATTATACGGCCTCACTGAAATTGAAATTTGCATTTTTGAATTTGTTAGTGTATCAATTTGAGATAAAAATGCCTGAAAGATTTGAAAATTAACTTTTTAAAAGATAATGAATATCATTTTAAAAGAAAATACTTCAAAAACTATGAAAGATTGTGTCTATGTAGCACGGTATTTATTAACTATGACTTTTTATGGTTGCCACCTTTTTTAAAGTGTGGATGTTTCTGAAGCAGGGGAGAACTATTATTTCTTGATGACCTTTAAGTCCTCACATGTAAAATCTCTACTCTTAACACTCTGAGAGACTGTTTCCTGTACTAGGTCTGTTTAATGGGAAAACAAACAGCTGTTCTACTGTTCAGATCGCCCAGGCCTCTCTGTGGGACAGATCTGGAAACAAAGAAGTTGGATTCTCCTGCTGAGTTAAATTTTATCAACTCTGTAGGGGAATTATCTGTGATGCTTCTCTCTCCTGGCCATAATGAATATTCTGAAAAGCAACAGATAACATTTTTTAGGAATCTTCAAACTTAACTGAAATAAAATCTGAGATGCATAAAGGATATTTTGTATTTATATACAAAATGTTGAAAGATTCACTGCTCTGTTGTTTCTTTCTGTGCTATGCTGGGGATCAGACCCAATGCCTGTGCATGCTAAACAAGCTCTCTTCCATGGAGCTACACACCTCTGTATTGCTTTACAATGTCTTCTAAATATTACAGTTAAAATACATGTTCGTATCACTTTAATGTCCTCATTGAGGAGCCTTTTGACTACAGACTGAGCAAACACCAATCTACAACTTTCCTTATGATAATGACTTTTAATACATAATTGGCTTTATACTATTGGGGGGTGGTGCTCCCATTTTCTCTACGTAATATCCCTCCTTATTGTGAGTTTCATTTTCTTGTGGTCTCATTTACCCATACTAAATAAAAAATTCCATGGATAAGTAATTCGTAAGTTTTACATTACAGTCCATTCTATCCCATGTGGCACAAAAATCATCTCTTTGTGTATACATGTTAGGCATCCTACCCATATATTAGTCATGTTTGGAAGCAGCCACAAATATCAGCTATATATTCAGAGATAGTACTTGTGGTCAAATAACTTTTGTCCAGTAGCCTAATGAAACCTTGCAATGCCTACTTTATTCACCTCACTTCACCTGGTGGTGCACACTATCATCACACATTATCATATGTAACACAATAAGATTGATTGGGAGTTCATATTCACAGGTGATTCAAAGCATGTTGTCATATTTGTTCCACTCTATTATTAGTAGTGCTGTTAATCTCTTACTTGACCAGATTTACACGTTAAACTTTCAGACACAGTGATCTGTGCTGTCTACAGGTCTGTGCGCCTCCTGCAGTTCTTGCAGTATATCACCCATGGATATTGAGAAAGCTACTGTCATTTCTGTTGGATTTATGTATATGCCTAATATTTATGATCTTGCTGTCATAAACATACAGGTTTATTTTGAAAAATTTGTAGGGAGAGTTTTATGCTAATAAAAAGTAGTTGCAAATTGGATTTTATTAAATTTGAATTTTATTAAAATCAATATTTGCAATCTTGAAAAATATGCTCAATAACATCTTGTAACTATATTATTTACCAATCTTCAGGTAAGAGCTGATTAAAATATGTTCAATGATTTATGAAACTCTTAAAACAGATTAAGATGAGACTTATTACATCATATAAATCATTACCAGATCCATGGCACAGTCTCGAAGATGCGAAGTATTAAGAATAGCACTACAATGCCTTTCCATTGAAAAAGCTTGATATTTCTGCATTTTACATCTTCCCCATTCTGGGAACCTTTTCTACAAGAAATGAAACTTATTGTGCTTTACCTTAAACTAACTTCTTACATTTCATACAGTAGTGTGTTTGACTGTATCTCCAAATCATTTCCTTAGATATCTGGAAACACTTCAAAGTCAAAATGAAACAGGTACAACAGGGATGAGAGGGAAGAGAGAAGAAAAACCTGTTGTTCCCTTATCTCTTCCCATGAGAAAATCACACAAAGCAATTGTAGGATCCTTGAAAGGATCTCATGCTAATAGATTAACAAACCACAAAATACTGTGGTATCATTTAGGGGGAAATCACCCTACCTAAATGCAAATAATAGCTTCTACTTTAATATATTCATTACTATGACTAATGTTTTTACTTTTTTTCTATTAAGGTAACATATTTGTTTGATAATGGAGGGACAGTCTTCTTTGCTATTTTTATGGCAATATGGGGTAAGTATTTTCTTTCATTATTCCTTTTCTGTTCTGACTTTCTATCACTGTGTTACACACACACACACACACACACACACACACACACACACAATGTAGTGATTCGACAATAAAACCTCTAAACTGTGTGTGCTTTTACATTAATTTCTTTGATAATTTTAATTTTTATTAATTCTCTAAGGCCTAAACCTTCCAGTAAGAAAAAAGTGCCTTGTTCCTGTTAAATTCAGTTGTTAAAGAGAAAAAAAAATGCACTAAAACCACAATTAAGTCTCTTTTATTATTACTAGTAAAAGGGTCGATGAGTTTGCCAGATAAATCCATTCATAGTTCTGTCCTGTCCTTCCTAAAGTTATAGATAGGAAGTTTTATTTCATGTATGGCTGAACAATAATGTCTAATACAGGGTAAATTCTATTCATATCTAACAAGTTAAAAACCATACAGCTTATGCATGAAGATGTTCTTTGGCCTTTCACCGTGTTTCATATTGAGTTTTTAAGACATCTAAGTGGTTGAAATGTGATATAAGCAAAAAAGTTAGAATTGCTTAGAACTCTGAGGACTTTCAGGGAAGCTATCGATTTCTTGGCTAGATTCAGTTTTCTCACTATGGCCCTGCTGAATGCATCCATTGTCAACGTGCCAACGAAAGGGGCTGACCATGCAGCAGATGTGGAAGGGGGGATGCAGTAGAGGAAAGGCTCTCAAACTTACTGCCTTAATTTCTCACCAGAAACTCGGCCACATCATCATTCTGGCTTTAAGGCAAAAAAAATATTTTAAAAAAGCATCCGAATTAGCCCCAAGAAAAGGCTCATCTTGTTTTTTGTTCCAGGACTACAGGCAGAGGAGTAAAGGATCAACATCACCGGTTTTATTTTTTAAAAAATGGTGGGGGGAAGGATGTAATTTTGATTCTCAGTTTTTAGTGAAAAAAAGATTTGATTATGATCAGGCAGTGCTACCATGGTGATGTATATTAGATTTCCTGATTCCACAAAGACTTCCTAGAAAAATAAACCAAAATACAAATTATGGTTATGTAATACGTGCTTCAGCCCAGCTGAAGACTGTAAAAAAGGAAAGCCTTTGGACGATGGCTCCCCACCCTCTATTTCTGCTCCATGTCTCCTGTGGCTGCAGTTCAACTTGCTCAAGGTGCACAGCAAGCTGAGAGCCAATGGGAAGATGAGTGTCTTCAAAATCAGGCTGTAGATGAACGTGCACCCTCTGCAGTCATCTGTTAGTTTTATATTGCGGTGCGAAGCGGTGGTATATCATCCATTGGAATGTCATCATGAACATTTTCTCCACCTTCTGGCATGGATGCATCACTCACAGCTGAGTTGTAGTAACTAGAATTTCCAAAATTGACATCATAAGGTTCTGGTGCATTATCTAATCGTAGAACTGAAAAAAAAAAAAATAACAAAATCAGCAGAATTGCTTTACTGCCGTTCTCTAAAATGATGTTCAGTCACCTGATTTCATTATCAGATTATAAGAATTTTTTTAGGTAATTGAAAAGATACACCTTTTATATGGGCATCTCAGACATTGCTTTTGAAATATTAAATAAGTAGGTATTTTTGTATACTACATTTATTTTTATGAATAACAACAGTGGTACTTCTAAAATCCCACTGTCAATGAACACAAAATTACGGAATTGTAAAACACATCTCAACAAAAACAGACCATTAACCTGTATTTTGAAATACAATTATATAACTATTGACTTTTGAATCCTGAGGTTTTTGAGAGCTCTATTACCATGTTCAGAACACTTTTTTTCAATCTTTAAAATTTGTTTAATTCTATGTGTATGAGTTTTTGCCATTATCTAAGTGCACCTGTGCTTGCAATAACCTTGGAAGCCAAAAGAGGGCGTCCGATCCTTTGGAAATGGTTTTACAGACAGTTGTTAGCAGCCATGTGAGTGCTGGGAACAAAACCAAGATCTTCTGCAAAGAGCAGCCACTGCTCTTAACTTCTAAGCCAACTCTCCAATCCACATGTACATAATTTTTAACTGCTGCTATAAAAATTGTTAAGTGAGAACAATTAAAAAAAACATTATTTACCAATTTCCTCAGTACCTCAATGGGCAAATATGTTAAAGTAAAGAGAGAAGAAAACTATTTATGAAACCTTACACTTCCTTCTGAGATCCAATCATAATGCCCTTAATATATTCTGATAGATGATACAAGAGAGTTTTATTTTCAACAAAGCTTATTACTTTCTTAATAATCTTGTTCATTTTCAGGGAAATCTTAGGTATGTACTAGATATCTTAAAAGTTCTGTAAGCAGTAACTAATTGATAATTAGATTAGATTTGTGATGTAATAATTCCACTACGTATTATCTTGTCTGCCTATTCCTTAAGCTATCTGCCTATGAACTAGCCTACCAGGAACTTTAAGTCTTTAGAAAAAGGTGTCTAAAAGTTGTCTTGAAGGGATCCAACAGGTATCATGATTATCATGACTGAATTATGCCTTTAAACATCAGCCACAGCTGTTCATATTGTATAAAACTAAAAGATCAAATTTTTCTCTAAAAATATATTTATGCAAGACAAGATTCTTAGTTTAATATATATATATATAGAGAGAGAGAGAGAGTAATTAGGGAATTGTTAAACTATATATATATAGAGAGAGAGAGAGAGAGAGAAACTATTGTCAGAAAGTCCATCATTTAACTTTGAAATGTGACACTTTTTGTCTCATATGGATTAGTAGAAGCCCACAAACAGCATTCTGCTAAACTTTCAGTTAATGGATTTGATTTTGAATACGTGTAATGTATCATTCATGAACTAAACTCATCAGAACTTCACATCTTGGACTATTCAGAGGCAGGTAAATATTTGATATGTTGATGGATTTCTGGTGTATACAAGATAAGATTTCTCTTAGTGCATAAAAGAAAGAGGAGTCCTAGCATCTGAAGTGATTTCTGTTTGAATATTGCTATATATCAAACTCATTGCTTTATTTAGCGTATCTGTATTTCTCCATTATCTATACTATGGTTGCCATTTTGTCTTTATTTCATGTGCATGCCTGTATATGATGTGATGTATATATGTGTGCTCATGTGTGCACATGCATGTGAAGACCTGAGGCTGTTGTTAGGAATATTCCTCAATGGCCCTCCACATTGTACATTGAGGCAGGGTCCTTCAAATGAACCTAGAACTCAGTGATAAGACTAATCTCACTGGTCAGCTTGTTTGGGGGGAATGCCAGTTCCTGCCTTGTGAGTACTGGAATTGCAGGCTAATGTACCCAACATTTATGTGGGTTTTGGAGATCCAAACTCTGGGTGACATAAGAGGGCAGAAAGTGTTTTTAACTGCTGAGCCATTTTCCCGTTTCTCTTTGGCTCTTTACAAAACTGTTATGCAAGTGGAGAATTCTTGAATTAAGGTGTATCATGACCTCATGTTATAAACAGGCAGCTTCAGATATTTCTCTTGATCCCACTAAGGTATGGTTAATGAAGACTAGCTGTGTGTATATACACTTGGGACGACTTCCAAGTTCCAACAAATCTTTTTTTTCATATTGTTACCTCTAAGCAATCTTACAATAGCAAATAATGACATTGTAGGGAGTTCTAAAAATAAAACTGACCATATTTTCTGAACTTCATACCATAATCTTCCAAATTTATAACCTATGTATGAATAGTTGATTACTATTTAATAGTTGATACAGTCAGCAACGAATCCAAATCATCTTTATATTTCACAGATACATAATGTAAATATCGTCCAAATGTTTCCTGAATCCCTTCTAGACAGTGAGTTCTCGGTTCACACCACTGTATCCAAGTCAGACTCTTAACGGAGTTTTTACCTGGTTCATTTCTGTCATCATACAGTCGCCGATGGGAAAAGGAATCTGTTTTCCTTTTTCCACACAACAAGTAGCCAACAAGGCTAAGCAGGGAAACACCCAGAATAGCCCCTAAAATGGCCCCGAATACTATTCCTGTGCTTTTATTCTCTAGAAGACAAGACAAAAGGTACAGGTAAGAAGTAGAAAATAATTATTCAAAGCACAAAATAAACACATATAGATTTTCTATATACAAAAGAGGATCTAGCAGATTTAATATTTTAAATTATATAATGGTGACTGTGCACTGGTATGTTACAGGGAAAGTGTGTGTAAATTATCTGCCACTCACCATTTAGGTCTTTAGCAGCACAACGTGAGCAACTTCATTATGAAATCACACACCTACATTTTCACTTGCATTGAGATATTTCTAAGTCCCAGCTTCAATTGTCCTGTTTGTTGTTATCACCAGCAATACTGAAATGCTGTGATTATTCAACATTAAGCTCTGATTTCAATGTCTCATACTATATTCATTAAGTCTTTCCTAAACCCTGAATCTCTGAGGATGTTTAACGGCGAAATGAACTCCAACTTTGTACAAATAATCGAAGATTTTAAAAATCAGTAAGAATAAGAAAAGGGCACTATAAGGCAAAACAGTATAACCTGACATGTGATGTTCCTTAGCCAAACAAAGCAATCAGAAGCAAAGGCAAGACAGTCAAATTTCATTTTCTAAATATACTGTTTCTTACAGAAAGACTCATTGTGTTTGCTAATAACACTTAGATGTTGGCGCATGTGTCTCTAATCTGTATGTATTTGATTATTACTAGTCATGGTCGGTTGCACTTGGATCCTTGGCACTTGTGTATGTATATAAAGTCATTGGGTAGATTTCAATGGTAATGTTTATCACCTCTACCAATTAACATGACATAAATTTTATGCTTCCTCCTCAAATATAACTCATTTTTAAAATTTGTTTTTTTGTGTGTATGTATATCACACAGAACATCCCAATCTTATTCATGATGAAGAGCCTTTTAAAATATCTAAGGTGAGCTCCTTTAATCCCAGCACTTAGGAGGCTAAAGCAGATGGATGTCTGTGAGATCAAGACCAGCCTGATCTATATAGCGAGTTCCAAGCCAGCTGGAGATACATGGAAACCTTGTCTCGAAAAACAAATGCAGAAAACAAATCTACATCTATATATAAAACAACTAGCAACAACAGTAAAATTGTTGCTAGTATAAAATGAAGCATATTTAACTAAATATTTTTAAGAAAGAAGAGCTATGGTAGTAATCAATGTTCAATATGCCAGAGAGAGAGAGAGAGAGGAGGAGGATTTTTTTTCAAATTTCTTTTTACTGGATACAACAGTATACATGAGTGACCAGGTGTGCGAAGATTGTAACTAAAGGAAATTACTTTACATACATTTTATAATAGTTGTAATGTTACTATAAAGCCTAGACTTGAGAATCTAGACTACTCATCTAGTAACAACAGTTTACAAGCATCTATTTGTGTATATGATTATGTATATCTAATATTTATAATATAATTCTAAGAAAGTTTATAAGAAGGCAATAAGTTCATAGGTAAAATGATTTTATTAAAAACAATAAGGTGACTTCAAGCATATAAGCCTAAGGCTAGACCTAAAGGAAGGAAGGCATGCTGAATCAATTATGTAGCCAAAGATATATTTACATATTTTTTGTTTTAACATTTGGCAAACATATGAATTCCCATATACTAAACAAAACATATGAATTCCCATATACTAAATGATATTGTGATCCAACAAATTCTGTTTATATGATTTTCATCAGATATTAAACCAAAAATTCAGAGGATTTCCTTGTGTTGAGTTTCTCTAAATAATGTGTGCAATATCAATGCTTTATTATTGTCTTGTAATTACTATGTAGTGTCTACATAATTTATAATTTCAATAATTTTGGCCAGTTTTTCAAACTCACATGTATACATTTTTAAATTAATTTTCATCATATTCATAAAAGGATGAGAACGTCTGATCTGTCTTTTAAGACTCAGTGAAAAATGTTACCTGTTCCCTCAGATGCCCGTTTCCTTTACCTCACTTGCTCCTCATCTTGTCCCACTGTCTCCTCACACTCCTGTCTGGTAATAACTAGCATGTGTTCAATTAAGTCCTGAAACCGCCTCACAGTGCCCAGTGCTTATTTCCCACTGTAAGAACTAACTGTATTATTGCAATTGCCTCTATTTTTAGAGAATGGCATATTTCTTAGATTTAATTTATATTATTTAGATACTCAACTTTATATAAGAGGAAAGTTAAATCCACTTATATTTACCTTTTTGAGTGTCTGATGTATTTGGAAAGAGTTTTGAATTATTGGTGAATATTAAGGTGGGTTGTAAGGTTGTATTTTCTTGATAAGGGGTAAATCCGGCAAAGTTGTCACTGTTCGTGGTAAGCAATCCAGTAGGTTCCACTGTCAAAGGGGTCACAGGTGTGGTAGTTGATCCTGGAGCATGGTTTGTGACAGAACTAGAAATGTCAGGAATTTTCAAGGTATCATTGTCCAAAACCCAAGTATGATTTTCTGATGATAAAGAATACGTAGAATCCAGATGCGCTGAGATGTGCCCAAGATTTTTATCTGTTATAGATGAATTCAAAGGTAAGCGAGAAACAAAGCCATGAAGGAAGGGAGAGACTGTGGAAAATGTGGAGGTAGGTCTTGGACCCTCAGAATTGTTAACTCTTAGCAAGTTGTTGGTGGAATTTACTGTTTCGGAGGTTGTGGATAGATCCAAAGGAGCTTCAGCCACCGGGTGATTGGAGGCACTCCTGGCTTCATTTTCTGAAGTTATATTTGCTTCACTTTCCAAGGGAATAGATTTATTTCCTATTGTTTTCAAAACATCCTCAGTGCTTTGAGTTGTATTTCTTCCAGGATTTTGCTTCTCATAGCTACCAAATGGTAATGAAATTAACAGAGTTGAAATGAACACAGTTTTGGCTAAGGTCAACATGGTAGCCTTCTTTGCTGTTGGTTTTAGTAAGAGGAATCTGAAAGAAAGCATTAATCGTTTGAATTTTTGAGAGTGTGGCTCTTCATGACTAAGGGGATAAAACTCTAGAGTAACATGGTTGAGAAATTAATACATTTCATAATCTAAAAGTTGTGTTCAGGTAGATTACAAATTTTAGCTAGAACTAAGTTCTGTTTTCTATATATTTCTTCCTCCATTGTAGGGAAATGCCAGGAAACAGCTTTTTCAAGTTAGATACTACCATTTTAAAGATCACTGAGTTTGGGACAAGTTGAAAAATATATTTATTAATATATCTATGCATATGCACAGGCTAATAATTAAACATTTTTAATACTGTAAATATAGGACTATAGAGCTGGCTGGTTTCTTCATACTATTTAGGAAAGCATACTCTTTATAATAATGCTATTTTGAATGTTAATAGTGAAAATGATTATAAAGTAATTGTGCCTTGTATCAGTTCTACAAAGGAAGTCAGTCAGGAGCTTCCTTAAAAACAGTGTTACTCTGTTTACTTTTAATAATTTGAATTTAAAACCATCCATGTTTTACTAATACTTCTTGCTTCATGGTGTCCATCTTCCTATTTGATCCCAATTTAATATGGAAAGCAGGTAGGTCTCAGACTCACAGAAATCTACCTGCCTCCCAAGTGCTGGGATTTTAAGAAATTCTTTATTCTTGCACTCTTCTTCTTAAATGAAGAATGCGGGCTTGGGGGCTGAAGAGCCTTGGCTGCACTTGCTAAGGACCCAGGTTCAGTTCCTAGCACCCACATGGCAGCTAAAAACAGTCCATAACTCCAGTTCCAGGGTATCAGATGCCCTCTTCTGACCTCTACGGTCTTTGTATGACATGGGTGCACTTGCACATGTGCAGGCAATATACTCATACATACACATAAAATAAAAAATAATGTTTTTTAATTTATGGAAAAATGAATATGATTGAAGTTATCTGTGAAAAATTTTACCTGGGTAGATGATGGCCAAACTAGGCAATAAAATATATATAAAACCTCCTAATCTAAGTACACCAGTTTGCCTTAGTGTTGAAGTGCCCAACTCATAAATAGGGTAATAATGAAAAATATTTAGAGCAGGTTACTATCTAACTTCTGTCACAACCTGTAAAAATCATCATCATTATAAGTTGTTAACATATTATCATTAAAGTAACCGATATTGTTCTGAGACTAAAGCAGATGATGCAGGTAGAAAAATTCAGTATATTGTCTGACTTAAAGAAAGCACTTACAGATACCAACCTTCCTTTAATGCCATTCAAATATAACAGTGTATCTCTAGTGATGCATTGATCTTGTGATACAAGAACAGATTATGTTATATTCATTTTGTAGATAAAGAAATTGAGACCCAGAGTGGCTAGTAATGGAAATTAATCAATAAATGAAAGAGGTAGCACTTGAATCCAAGTCTACCAACTGCAACCATATAGGATGCTAAAAGTTGGTATTTAAAACTTTATTATTATTATTATTATTTAAAAAACTGTTAGACTGGAGCTCAGTTGGTAAAGTGCTTGCCTTGTATACAGGAAGCCCTGGGTTTGGACCTTGTATCACATAAACCTAGTAAGGTGGAAAATGCCTGAAATCCCAGTACTAAAGAAGAGAAAGAAAAATCAGAAGTTCAAGGTCATCTTTAGCTACATAGTTCAAGTAGAGCCTCAGAGACATGAGAACCTGTGTTAAACAAGCAAAAATTTAGACAATAAAGTCTGAGAAATAATTTGATGCCCTGTGGGTTTGGGCCTTAATTTTCACTAAAAGATCTCATCTTAGATAGAAAAGTGGAGGATGTACAACTGCAAATATTTACTCCTATGTTGCTTGCAAGGTTCCAGAGCTTCCCATGAAGTTTTCACTACTCTTGCTCACACTGCTGATTTTCGACTAGAATTTAAAAAGCTTGTATAGCACTCCTAGTGATTTATCTTTGGATTTTAATATTTCTCATATAGCAAGCATTCAACTAATGATTTCTCACATACAGTACAAATTAAAAATATCCGAATTACAATCTATGTCATGATTTCATCAAAAGCTTTCAGAAGCAGTCCATAGCTTTGGATTCCAAAGGTTATGGTGAAACTTAGCATATTCTATCCTTGTTCTAACCACTTAAGAAAAGTCTTCCTAAAATTAAGACAGGTAGGTATGCAATAATATTCATAGGTGCATTATTTATGATTCTCTGGTTTAAATCTACCAGTAACAGATTGCACAACAAATGCCTGGCTAGTCATAGGGTAAAAATTAATATATCAAGGTTTTCTGAAACAGTGTAGCTACTTATAAGAAACATGAGGAAAGATTTTTAAAATGAAAGCACATTGTGTTAATCCCACATATATAAAGTTCAAAATGGGCAGAAAGCTCTGTTAGAAGACAAGAGCAGATACTTCCAACAAGAAGACACTGTTCACTTAAAGGGCACCTGCCTGCTGGTGATGCTCTGTATTTTGAGATTACAGAAGTGTTTGCATTTGTGATAAATTCATGGATGCAGCACGTGGATATGGAGAGAAAACTGCACTCATCTATGTAACAAAAATTACAAAGGATCATATAGCTTAGTTCTTGGTAACTTTTTAGACCTTCCCATAATAATTTTTTAACATAGACTCTAAATTTATTGATTAACTCAGAGTAGCTTATAACCTCATTTTCTTGAGGTTATCTACATTAGTGTTTCTCAAATATAATGACTTTACATGTATTTTCATGTAAGAAACCCAAACAACATTGTATACTTTATCTTGTTGGATTCACATGAAAAAAACATAAGTGATTGTCCCTTGAATCTATAGACTAACCAATATTTCATTCAGTAAATGCTTCATGTAGCATATTTTAAATGCAGCTTAATTTGGAAGAACTGTGTATATATCAGGAGTATATTTTTAGTTAAATCTAACAGCTTATAGCACACACAGCAATCCCTCATTAACTGCTGCCACTGCTCTGAGGTCATCACTTTTTATCATTACTATGCCATTTTGCTTTACATTCTCTCTATTTGGGCATTTTACTTATTTTCTCATCCTAAAAATGTGGCCACTAGAGGGGGTAAGGACTCTTAGTTCTAGTTTTCTTCAGAGTCACCTGAGGAACTTGGTCTTGAGCTTTCACTCCCTTCCTGTAATGAGAATCCTTGTAGCACAAGTAGTGAGTTTTATTGTTCCCGTTTCACCTTGCCTGTAACATTCAACCACCAAAGGTATCTCTCATTCCTTCTACTCACTTTTAAGTGTAACCTGAAAACCTAGGGTATCACTAACCCAATGAGCCCAAGCACTGTTATTGCTTATAACATATCTCCTTGGAAAAAAAGTTTGTTTTTTAAAGAAGGAAGCAAAGAACAGATATTATGTCTGAATATTAGATATGGCTAATTTAATTAAGGAATTAATACAGCTATGGATAAGGATTTGTGAAGACTAATTTATTCCTATAATCCTGACATTGTGTCAGGAGATCTTTGTTTATCCTCCTTGGCTTCTATGAAAACTATGTAACACCTGTTCCCAGGAACTTTTCATCTTAAAGGAGCAGAAATGATCAAGCACTTAAACCATCAGGTGTTCAAAACTTCAGCCCTGATATTTTACAAAAGAAAGGACAAAGTGACTTGGGTTCAGTTGGACTCATTCTGAATTGAATAGTGTGCCTTGGGAATAGTAAAAATGAATCAGGGTTATACAAACTCCGGAAGACAGTGAGTCAAGTTCTGCTTTCATCCTCGCATTTTCCTTTCATTCTCTCACATCTCTAGGTTTCAAGTACTGAAGTGATGTTGTATATCTGCCGGTCTACATAGATATAGATATGTACATCAACCTGTTATACACATACAGATATGTTATATTAAACTGAAATTGCTCTGGGATATGAATGGCATGATTGAGTGCATGCATGTTCATCTATCAGTCAGGTGTTCTCAGAGTGCAAAGAAAATGTTAAAGAGAAAGTTGAAAATTTTAGAAGGAGAAGATTTCACCTGTATGTTTTACCTCTTCTTGCACCCAGTTGGGTAGCAATTTTATTGTAATATTTAAAGACTTTGGGAGTGATCAACACAAACTTGAAAAACTAGAATGTACTTTCAAGATAAATGAGCTTCACTTTTTTAAAGAATGTTTTTAAAAATTTTGCTTATTATTTTTATTTTATGTGTATGAGTGTTATGTAGGTAAGTGCACACATGTCGTACAATGCCTGTGGAGGACAGAAGAGGCTGTTGGATCTCCTGGAACTGGAGTAATGGACCATTATTAGCTGCCATGTGGGGCTGGGATTCGAACTTGGGTCTTCTGCAAGAACAGTCAGTGTTCTTAGCTGCTGAGCCATTCTTCGAGATGGAGAATAAATGTTATTTCACCCTCTCCTTGGTGTTATCACTCACAATGTGTTTTCCCATTGCTAGTTGTCTGTGGAGAGCTAGAGAACATAGTGAGGGGAAAAGAACCTAACTGCAGAAGCAGACTTACCTGGCGTGCATAATCTTGCTTGCTCTTAATTGTATAAAATCATTATTCTGCCCATCCTCCCTTTAGTGACTGAATCATAGCCATTTCATGCTAAGCCTTAAGAATAAGCAGGCACCCTGGTTATGTCTGGTTGTCAACTCATGCTCGAGAAAATATGGTATTCATTGTTTCCTCAGTGAGAAGAAGGACTTTTAAATAATAGTGTCAGTCCAGGTATGACGAAGGTATGTTAGGACAAGGCGTTCCTGCATTGAAAAACTAATGACTCTCCTCTCCCACTGTTTACCCAATTGCTTTTGATCATTTGCTGTTGTATACCCAGTTTAGGTGTGCTTTTTTATTTATTTTTGGCATAAAATGCTCTGTTGGCAATGTAGCTAACTCTCCAGGCAAGACTTGAATAATTGGATTTTACTGGCCTTTCCAATCTGAGTCAGTATTGTATGCCTTCTCTGTATGAGTCATGCTAA